CTGCGGAATTTAAAAACATGGTTTAAGAAAACCTCAACGGAGCTGTTTTGAGCCGCAGCGAGCAAGGTTATGATTGCCAAGATGATTTCCAACATCCGAAACGGATAGGAACCAGAAGAAGAAGAAGACACAAACGAAATACTGAAATGTCTTCTAGTGGTATTAAACCACCTATTCTAGTCTAAATAAGAATTGTCATGTTAATAGCCAACGTTCGCAACGGACAAGGCACTTGAAGAAGAAGAAGTCTAATTCGACGGAATTCGACGAAGAAAAATAGTAAACGAAAAACCTCTATACAAAAAAAAGCAGTTTGTGGTCAGAAGTGAAATAGTTTAAAAAAACAAGGAATAATGAAGAATCTGCAACAGATATAAGTAACCGTATACTATTAAAATTAATTCAAAAAAGTCAAACTAGATTATTTTTATTTTAAGTAGTTAAATTGTTTAGATTTTTAGACGCAATTTCGTTTCTTCAATACGAAAGCTTAAATGGCACGTATACAATTTGGTATTAAAGAATTCTTAGATTAAAATTTTATTACTGTATACTGGATATTCCAAGGGGTAACAGGTTAGAATGCGAAAACATGGAATTATATCCAGTTTACTCCACTTAGCCTCTTCTACTTAAATCCGACTCTCACCTTCACGCTGGTCATCATCATTTTGGCTTTACAACCCTGTGTGGGTCCTAGCCTCCCCAAGAATTCTCTTCCAGTCGTCCCTATCCATCGCCTTCCTCCGCCAAGCACGTATTTCCATATTTCTCATATCTTGGTCTATGTTATCTAGGAATCTTGTTCTGGGTCTTCCTCTTCTTCTTTCACCAATAGGTCTATCAAGGAGCGTTTTTCTAGCTGGGTCGGTTTGCTCCATCCGCATTACATGGCCTACCCACCTCAGACGTCCTATCTTAATGTGTTTTACGATATCTGATTCCTGGTATATTCTATAGAGTTCGAAGTTGTATCGTCTTCTCCAGACACCATTTTCATTTACCGCTCCATAGATTCGCCTCAGTATTTTTCTTTCGAAACATCCTAACATGTTTTCATTGCTTTTTGTTAAAGTCCAGGTTTCTGAACCATATGTTAGGACTGGGCGTATTATTGTTTTGTAGAGTTTTACTTTTGTATTTCTTGATATAGCTGTAGATTTAAAAAGGAGATTAAGCCCAAAATAGCATCTATTAGCTGTGCAAATTCTGCGGTTTATCTCTGCGGTAATGTCATTTTCAGTATTGACGAGCGTTCCCAGGTATACAAATTCGTTAACTGCTTCGATGTCGTCGTTTTTTATAACAAGTGGCCGTCGTATTTGTGGTTGCGGACCTACTTTCATGTATTTCGTTCTTCACGCTGGTACCTCCTGTTAAACCGAGCAACCCAACTGTAGATCCGGTATTTAACCCGGGTGGAAAGTATGGTCGGAGACTGACTATAGCGGGTAAACTGGTTCTCCAGATTGAGGGTTGGCGTAGGGTTAGCATTCCGACACCATAAAAAACAGCATTTTACGAGAATTCAAGATAAAGTTTCCGGACTAAAATCAGGACGACGACTCGACACGAAAAGAGACAATGATTTAGGATTATTCTCGTGGAATGTAAGATCTCTATACAGGATAGGAGTCTTGCAGTCTCTCATTAACAGTGTAGAAGTATATAAGAGCGATATAATTGCACTTTCAGGAAATGAGATGGTTGGGAAATAAAATATTAGAGAAAAAGAATTATACGATATATTACAGCTGCCATCCAACAGAACACAAATTAGGAACGGGATTCATATTCAATAAAAGAGTAAAGCACATTACAATATCAACTAAAGATTAAGCACACTAAGAATCAGAGGTAAATTCTTTAAATATTTATTAAAAAATGCCCATGCACCAACTGCGGTGAAGCCAGATGAAGAAAAAGAACAATTTTATAACAACTGGAAAATATCATACAACAGTGTCCTAGAAATGACGTGAAGGTCTTAATAGGAGATTTTAATGCAAAGATAGTTAAGGAGAGGGAATACATACCAACCATTGGAATTTTGCAGTTTACAACAACAGAACTCGACCAATATACTTAGCCTCCTCAATGAACATGGTGATTGCCAGCTCATGCTTCAGGCACAAAGATATACAGTAAATCAAATCGACCATGATGTAATTGACGCAAGACACTTCAGCGATAAGATAGACGTACCTGCAAGACGCGAAGGTGCAAAGAAAGAAAAATGAGTTAAAAAGGAAAGATTTAAAGTAGAAGAGTTAAAGAACCCTGAGATAGCTAAGGGATTCAAGGACAGTTTCGAAAGCAAGCTGGAAGGCTGCACGTATGTTATACTTGAAGATATTAACAACTATTTGAGGAAGTGTAGAGGCATATTGGAAGAAGTGGCAACTGAGGTTATCGGAAAGCAAAAACGTAAAAAATTAAGGTAAGACTGGTACGATGAGGAACGTGCACAATATATAGAAGACTCCAATGGCAAAGAACGAGACAAACAGAGGAAGAGTATAGGCAGCTAAGACGAGAAGAAAACAAATACTTAAAAAAAGAAGGAAGAGTATATAAAGACATAACTAAAAAACTAGGGAACTATAAGACACAAGCAGAAACGCGAATATTCTACAAGAGGATTAACTAGAACAGGAAAGAATTCAAACCTAGATTATCAATCGTTGGAAATAGAACAGGGGAGATCATTGGTGATCAGGACCAGATACTAGAAAGACGGGCAGAAAACTTCGAGGAAAGGCTAAATATAAGAGATGAGACAGGGCTCCACAAATCAGAAATCCAACATATCAACAGAGGTAGAAGTCATCCAAGCTATATAGAAATTGAAAGAAAACAAAGCTTCTGGGGCAGATGTAATTCCTTCAGAACTTTTAAATCATTGCAACAAACCTGACATACTGTGTATGTAGACTGGTAGAACTGAGCAAATAAAGTTGCCAGAAGACTGGAATGTAGGTATAATTGTACCTATCCACAAGAAAAGAGATCAAAGAATATGTGACAACTACGGAGGAATAACCCTCTTAAACGCAACATACAAAATATTGGCATATACTCTTTATGACCGACTATCGGAATATTGTGAAGAAATTAAAGGTAAATATTAGGGTGAGTTTCGTAAAGAAAGATCAACGACCGATCAAATATTCCTCCTAGGGCAAGTTCTGGAAAAACATATGAGTATGGCATTGATACTCATCACTTGTTTATTGATTTTAGATTTGCCTATGTGTTCTTTATTATATTGACCAACTGGTCAATATAATAAAGAAACGCAAGCTGGAATACTTCGGTCATATTATGAGACACCCTGAAAAATATGATCTTTTACATCTGATCATTCAGGGAAAGATCCAAGGTAATCGTGGTCCTGGTAGAAGAAGAACATCATGGCTGAAAAATATAAGGCAATGGTATGGAAAATCAACTACATCGTTATTTAGAGCTGCTGTCAATAAAGTCACGATAGCGAATATGGTAGCCAACATGATATCCAACGATCGATAACGGTCATGGAACTAGAAGAAGAAGATGATAGTGTTGAAAAAAAACGCACTGTACAAGGTCATGATAGAATTCAGCATCCCATTACACTTAGTAAAATTGGTGAAAGCGACCGTCTCAAGAGTCAAGTGTAAAGTTAGAGTACAGAACGGAGTTTCCGGAACGTTCTAGTCGCAGATAGGACTTAGACAAGGAGACAGCCTATCAACCCTTATATTAACTTTCGAAAGAGTAAGAGAGTTTATATATCTAGGCTCACAAATTAATCAGAATAATGCAGTAAATGTAGAAATTAACAGACGGATATATCTGTGAAATAGAGCCTATTATGGATTAAGAAAATTTTTAACAACAAGCCTAAAAAAGAACGAAACTAGTGATATATACTTCATCTAATTTACTTACCGTTGCACGTCATCCGCGTCATAGTCCGTGAGGTCACATGATACCAACACGAAATATTTAGGCGGTAGGTGTGTTCTTTTTTAGAATCACTTTCCCGAATACACTGGCATTACAGCAACTAGACATATTTTATTATATACGCGTAGAAATAATATTTAAAGATTTCTATTATTGTTAACTTAAAGAAATACACAATAATATGTTTCATTTAATTTGTATTAATGCATTATAAAGCTTTTTTATGAAGAACATTTGTTAGGAACACATTGTAACTGTAATCGAACGAATGTAATATTTTTGCATAAATTGGTAACACTTATTTAACAGTTGCGGTGTTGATACTTTTTGTACTTTTTTATTTTGAATTTTAAAGTGAATACCTCTTGTTTTATATTTTTACCTATTTAATAAAATCTGTTTTTTAGAAAAAAAATAGTGTGTTTTATTTCAAAAATGTCACGTAAGAATTTAAATAGTCGTTGTAAAGAGATGGTAATACTTTTCCAAGAATTATGTGACCTATTTGATTTAAAATAGAGTCAGTGCAACTTTAAGTAAATTAGATGAAATATACAGAAATCTTATCAAGCCCAACCTCACCTACGCGTCGGAAATATGGACGATGATAAAGAGCGATAAAGAACGTTTAAGATGCTTTGAACGTAAAATCCTCCGCAATATCTATGGAGGAGTACAGAAGGGCGAATTATGGCGTAGACACTATAATTTCGAACTTTATTGCCTGTATGACAAACCTGATATTATTAGGTCCATCAAAATAAACCGGCTGCGGTGGTTAGGTCACATAGAGAGAATGAATGAGATGGAGCCGCCAAAACATATTTATAACCAAAGAATAGATGGAGTGAGAAGGAGAGGCGGACCCATAGCACGATTTAAGGATCAGGTGGAGGAAGACTTGAGAATGTTGGGAGTACGAAACTGGAAAGCCAAGGCGAAGAAAAGGAGAGAATTGAGACTTATCCTTGAGCAGGACAAGACCCACCATGGATTGTGGAGCCAATGATGATGATGATACTCGATATTCCTATAAAATTTAAACTCACCTAAAGTAATTTTCTTCTCATAAGACTCGCTAGATCTTTTTTCAGACCAATATAAATCCTTGGAGTCAAGATTTGTCCACAATATATCATCCTTCAAAACCGCTAAACTTACTGGATGAGTAGTTAGAGTACGGAAATGATGTCTATCGTCACCTAAAAATAAAAAAAAAACGTATAATTACTATAGACAGGAATTGTATTCATATGTATACAGGGATGTTTATCCCCGTATACATATGAATACAGATTGCCAATGAAATGGAAATCTATATTCATAGCCCCTTCTCTCGGATTGCGTCAATGACTCTAACTGTAATATTATAATTTTGACTAATGTTTTATATAACTTCTCTAAAGGGCAGGTTCTTCATAGTCATTTAATCTTAATTAGTTAATACACTTTCTCAGCTAATTTTTCTGGATATCTCCAAATTGGATTTTTACTTATTTTCTGCAGGACTGTTACTGTTTAAAATCAAATATGATTGTGTAAATTAATTAATACATTTCTCCTCCCCGTAACCCTACAATTTCTATAGCACTGATCAAACAATATATCTCGGGATCAAGAGAGTGGGCGTCGATAAGATGGAACAAACATAACTCGAAAGTGGACCAATGCACACATCTTAAAATTTGCATTGTTCGTAGTTTCGTAAAATAGTGTGAAAAGTTACCATTGAAGTTACCGGTAAGTCTACAACTAGGTTTACCTTAACCTATACATTGTTTTGATTGTTTATTGCAATAATTTAAAATTTGATGATTGTTTGTACGTATGAGTTAAAATTCATTTATCTCACCAGGGCTATAGAGGGAAATTTCTTCTTTTTCTTCTTTAAGTGCCGTTTCTACGACGGAGGTCGGCAATCATCATAGCTATTTGGTCCTGCGTAATCAGTTGAAGCAAGGTGTTGTAGCGTTTACGCTACTGATTGACCCCTCAAGAAATTTCTTATGATCCGGCTGCGATCGATTTTAAATCGACATTTTTCCACACACGCGCAGGAGTCGCTTTCACAGGAAGATTGGTCGAGTCTGTGCGAAAGCGGTTAGTTTTGGTCAGAACTCGTAAACGCAGACACGCCAACTGGTGAGTTTTTCTCACGTTCAAAGTGACGGAATTGGGACAAATAAAATCTAGGACAAGAATAAAAAAAATATATAATTCATAAATAATAATAATAATAAGTAATTTTTTCTAATAAAACCAATATTCATTTATAAGAGTTCCACATAAAAGGAAGATTTTTTTTTGGCGTGCTGCGGCTCCATGTAAGTAAATAATTTCATACGTATTATCTCTTTATCATATAATCAAATTTATCATTGCAGTTAAGTATTTCTTTAGAGATTTATTTTTGAGTTCCGAAATAATTTAAATTTAAAATTTCCTTGATTCACTTGCAAAAAAACATAAGGTCATTTTTTATATAGTCAAACTTAAATTCCGATCTATCTTAAATTCCATATCTTATCAGTAAGTTTTTGGTTCTTTTTTCTCTTACTTTTTTGGTGGAATATAAAAGGTTCTTCAGCCTTCTGTATTCTGCGCATGTTCATTTCATGGCGCAAGCTTGCCATGCCTACGAAAGTAACTTCATAAATTTGACATGATGTTGACCTAACCTAATACCTGATGTTTTGATGTTTTGTTTTGGTGTAGTCAATCCACGCTGCTACAGCTATTGAATTGCATTTATTAAATTACATAACTCTTTTAGATTCCGTCACTTGAAAATATTCCCTCGAGGATATTAGTTAGTAATTTTGAATCCTTAGATAGTTAGCAATTTGCGTATGTAACCCGTGGATTTTGCTGTCACCCGGAACCATGGGACTTGTCACCACAACCATGAATTAATTTAGCCGTGCCAAGAGGAGTTTTCCTATGGACTTATAGTGTTGCTAAGATAAGTTGTTTAACTATTTGACTTTTTGTGTTACTTTCTATTTACTGTTAACTTTTCATATGCATATGATAATGTGAATACAATTTTGATAATCAAATTCTAAGATATTGGGGAGGGAAAATACATTACATGTTTTTATTAGGTTTTTAAATGGGATACAGAGTCTGACCAAACTCACTTGTTGATTTAATATATTTTTTTTAATAGAATACATTTTTGATAAAATACAATTTTGATATTGGGGAGGCAAATAAATTTCATGTGGTTTTTAAAACATTATATAAGGAATATGTAACAACTCACTTTTTATCTATAATATAAATGGTACTAGATTTATCAATTTTGATATCTTTACCATACTGTCACTTGTATCTCATTCTAGTAGAACTAAGTTAAATTAAATTACTAACTTTTAGTGTTAAGACTTTGGCTACCATACGGACTATTCTAGGTTTTTACTAATATTTCACCCTTTATTTGGCCAGTGGTAGTGACTATTCGCTTGTTGAGGGGCTATTTGGTCCTATTGTATCTTTACACACCCACTACCACTGTTATTTAGTTTTTGCATTATATGTAAATTGTTAATACGTATATATCGATATACACATTTTTATAAATATATTTATTGTTACTATTTTGAGTTTTATTTCAGTTCTACTAACCAGTATGTAATATAGCAAGACAAGATTAATATTTAGTATTTTGGATTTCAGGTTATTATCTCTAGTATCATTTGTTACCGGTCATTTGTTACTTCAAAATCTCAACTATCGTTGAGTTGGCGCCCTTCTTTTTCTCTTCTTATTGTTCTCTTTCTATAAATGTATTCCCAGTGACCTTCTTTAGTTGTATCACATTTGATATTACCAGGTCTCATTTCGTTTCTTGTCTCATTAGCTCAGTATCCTTGCTATCTGTTTATATCTTTAAAGCCATAATCCAGTGTGTTGAAGCTAGCCCGAACACTCACTTGAGATTTAGTGTCTTTTTGGCCATTTAACTTTGTTCCTCTGAGCTTAGCCATATTTTTAGTATTTTCATCACCTCTCTTCCAGTTCTTCTGAAATTTGGAAGTTCTACACTTCCTAAAATCCAATACTCCCGGAGTATTGAAGTTTCAGTGTATTTCTCTCCACGTGTAATGTGTCCGGGATATTCCAACTTTCTTGTTTTAATTGTATTTAAAATTTCTATTTTTTTATTCATCCTTCTCATAACCTCTTTGTGACGTATTCTCTGCACGATATTTTTAGAATTCTTTTATACACCCACAGCTAGAATGATTCCAGTTTTTTTTATTGATGTCGCATTCAAGGTCCAAGATTCCATTCCATAAAACAAAGTCGAAAAAACCTACACTATGAAGAGTGCTAGGCTTGTACATAGCACTCTTCTCATTTTGTTAAAATTTTCTGTAGCCTTTTCTATTCTGATTTTGATCTCCTGAATGTAATCATTTGTGGAGTTAATCATTGTTACCAGATATGCATATTTGTCCACTTGTTCGACGTTGGTACCGTTTATTAGAAGATTCTCGTTATTTCTTTGAGTTTTCGATATTTTCATAAATTTCGTCTTCTTGACGTTCATTGTTAGACTGTACTCTTTTCCATACTCCGCTATTCTAGTCACCAGTCTCTGAAGATCTTTAATATTTTCGACTAAGATCACAGTGTCTATTCCAGCTGTTTCACCATCAAGAGATTTTTTCAAGATCTCTTCGGAGTGGGCATTAAAAAAGATTGGCTACAATACCTATCATTGTCTCACTCAACGCCTAATTTCAATTTATTCTGACAGCTGTTCGTAAACACATACTTTTGCTCGCTGTTTATAGTAAAGGTTTGATATGATGCTGAGGTCGTTGTAGTCTATCTTCTTTGATTTCAGGACATTCAATATTTATTCATGTCGTACTTTATCGAATTCTTTATTTTAGTCAATAAAACAGACGTATATATCTTGATTGGCATCTAGGCATCTTTGTATCAGTATATTAAGTGAAAAAAGAGCTTCACGCGTTCCCAGGCCTTTGCGAAAACCAAACTGAGTGTTATTATACGTCTATATCCAGTTTGTGATATATTCGGATATGGATGACTGTTAGTAGTAACTTTAGCACATGAGATATCAAGCTTATGGTGCGGTAATCGCTACATTCTCTTGCGTTTTTATTTTTGGGGAGATAAATAAAAATCGACATTAACCACTCTGGGTAATACGCCTGAACCATTAATTTGGTTTAAGAGTGTAACTAAAACATCAATATGCTTCTCATCTAGAATTTTTAGGATTTTTATAGGAAGCATTTCAGCTCCAGGACTTTTCCCACTCTTCATTGTTTTTAATGCGTGTAATATTTCTTCTTTTGTAATATATGGACCTATTTCTTCTGACGTGAGATCTATGTGCTCCATAGTAAATAATAGATCATTGTTTGTTTAATTCGCCACAGTTACAATTCTTTATTATTTTATTTAATTTATTATTTTATTTAATTTATTATTTCTTTGAAATATAATAGTTGTACATTTGTTTCCTATACATATGAGACGTTGTTTCGCAGACGACAGTTTATAGTCATTTAATTTTTATTAGTCCATACACTTCTTCAGCCAGTTTTTCTACCACCAAGTTTGGGTTTACTTATTTTCTCCAGGACTATTACAATTTTTAATATAATATTTAGTCTATTATTTCTTTGAGAGATAATGGTGGTACATTTAATTTATCCTACACCGACCGACAAAAACTTTTATGCACTATTTCATATTGTATACTCTACATTTTTCATTTTTAAAACAAAAAATGACCATTACGGCCTTACACATTTAATTAAAAGACTGCAAAAGAAAATAGTGTAATATTAAAACGAATTACAAACAATAAAAATTATGATTGAACTTAAACAAAATTGTCTAAGATATCGGGTATTATGCCCTAAAACATCAATAACCGTTTGCGTAAGATTTGAAAGGGAAATGAACAAATTTTAAATAAAAACTAGGGAAATACGTTCATATCCTTTACGAAGCATGTTTTAAAGTGCAAGAGTTTCTGGCTGGCCTGGTTGACTTCAACCCTACGATGAAGTTCATCCCAAAGATGTTCGATGATATTCAAATTAGGGCTGCAGGATGGTCATTTCAGAGCATTAATTCCTACTTCCCCCAAGTAATTTGTCACAATTCTTGCAGTATGCAGCCGTACAATATCATTTATAAAGACGAAATTGTC